CAACAACGACAACTGCTGCTGCTGCTGCCGCTGCTGCTCCTGCTGCTGCTGCTGCTGCTGCTGCTGCTACTGCCAGTGCTATTGCTACTGCTACTGGCACTACTACTGCGATGACGACGACGGCCACCGCGGCCACCACCACACTCGCCGCCGCCGCCGCTCCCGCCACCACCACCACTCAAGTGTTATTCAGCTCGTCCTCACTGATGCCTCTGCTGCTAGGACGACAGGCATGGCGGATCCCGGACCCGTCTGCAAGACCTTCGGGTTGGACCCCGTCGTGAACCGGTCAGCCCTGCATGAAGCGGTACATTCAGCTCTTTGGTTCGAGCCAAAGGTTTGAGCCTTCAGTAGGAGCTCCTGCGCCAGGTACTGTACAATCGACGGAATCATCACAGTTGCAGCCTGTCTGCAAAGCAGTATGTCCCAGGCACACCAGTGTGCATCCTTCAACGGCACCGGCAGACCATGACACTTAAGCTCAGGTGGACGCAGCCCATTTCCTTACGCAGTTATCTCGCAAGCGCCCGGAAGGGGCTGCGAGGGCCCCGGCTCCCGGACGCTGGGCGGAGATCAACCTCTAAACCAGCATACACGCTGGCAGCAGTTTAAGGGCCACCAAAACAGCTAAACGTAGAACACCTGAATTCGTTTGAGAGTTTGGAGAGGATACAGAAAGTCTCCTGGTCGTGTGATGCTTTGGAAGGTCAACGAGCCCGCCCAGCAGGTGGCCTTTGCCGACAAGGTGCGGCCAAACACCCCTCCAAACCCTAAGCATCCCTTAATTTGAAGGAACCATGCGTGTAACGTGGCTACATTGCCTCAAGCTTTGCTTCTGCGCCAATGTGGTGAAGCCTCTGGCAGCACAAAATGCGGTGGTTTCCAAGTTTCACTACTTGCTGCCCCTGGGTGATGTGACCTCGCAAATTGATGGAGGTTGGGTTCGGGATTTGGAGAGTTCCGTGAGGTGCTGCTAAACAAAGTCGATGCAGTGAGTCGGGACAAGGCTCGCAGCAGCTTTTGCCTTCGGACGCTCCCTCGCATGATGTCGCATCGCACATGGTGCGACTCGCATGAGAGCTGCAGGCACAAAAGACAATCGCAGCGATTCGATCCGTTCCCGCCTCAAGAGTCATCAGAGTCAGAGTCAGGACCCTCCCAAAATGTGGCATCTTCAAAGCGATTCCGAGATCAATGCCTTCGCTCCAGTGGTGGAGTGCAGCCTGTCTCTGAAACCGGATGCTGTTCCGGTGGAGGAGAGGGACGGTGCCGATACGACGCCGCATTCTATGTGTTCCCTCTGAAGGAGCTGGTGTCCATAGAGGCTTTCGACTTGACCCGGCTGCTCACTGTGGAGAGTGAGCAAGGATGGGAGTTCTGCCTTCCAGTACGGGAGCCATCTTGGTCCTTGCAGGAGAGGTTGACCTGGCGGTGCCAGAGTCGCATGCTGCGGGTCACGAGCACTCTCATGACCACTCGCACTCCCACAGTGCAAGCCTCAATGTCTCTGTCTAGTTCTTCCCCAAGTCACCACATCGATGCGGTGCTACTCAGGTTTCCCTGAAGTGTGAAAGCTCATGGCCCATGCGCGTATGGCTTTGTTGGTGCGAAGGCTGTGAGGATCCAACCTGCACGGATCCTTCCCATGGCGCCCATCACGGTCACAGTGGCTCGACCCAGTGATCTGGGGGTGTGCCTCTTGCCCTCTGTCTTGGCAGCAGATGAATAAAGCCCGGAGTCTGCAAACACCGGATCTCGCTGCGAGGCCACGACGCAGATTGCCGGGGCCGGGGCCTCCGTGGGTTTGGATGCTGTCGACGCGAGGGCAGCTGACGGTTGGGAATCCGATGTTGGTCTGCGCAAAAGTGAAGAGAACAAGGTTGCCTCGAAGACCCAACTTAGGCTCGGACTCGTCGTGCGACCACGATACCCACGACACCCACACCCACCACGACACTGACATCGGATCCATGGTCTCCCGGCCGAATCGAAGGTGGCTGAACGATAGCAAGCAGCACGTTGATGTCGTGATGCTTTCCATCTGCCTTCATGGACGCTTTAAGACCTAAGCTAGCGATCCATTGCTATCCAAAACTGAAGCTCGACACTTAGGTTCTGGAGCTAAAGGATGTCCCAATGGACATTCCGCGTCCTAGCCCCAGAGGCGCCCTGCAAGGCCGCTTTAAAGGCGTACCCAGGAGAAGCGGAGCAGAGTTCTGAGAGCCTCTGTAAAGGTAGAACCCGGAATAGAAAATCAAGTCTCCTAGAAGTCTGAAGACCGAGGTCTTGCTTTTTCTTGCCCACTTAAGTGTGCGTCGAACTACAAATACTTTAGGGTTTGCGCCGCCCTCAGAAGCAGGCGCTGGCATGTTTTTTGCCAAACGTTTATAGGACGAATCGATTTACACATAATTGTTGCGGCCCCGACACAGACCCGTGTATTTGATGACAAGGAGGGCGTGGATGTTGGATGCATTCAACCTTGGTCTTTCCCAGTCGACAGCGGCACAGTACGTTAAGGTGTTTTAGTGAATCAACGTGGAAGCAAACAAATGCTCCCGTAGCCTGCATGCAGTCTTGCAGTCGCCTACATGTGCTGTTGCTGTTCTTCATGGGGAGAGACGCAACGAGTATGTGGAACATACGCCTTGCGTCTTGCGTTTCTGATAACAGTGATGCAAACTAGTTGCGGTGTGTGCTTGTGAATGTTTTTTTTGCAGAGGGGAATTCTTCCCTGGCCCTTGGCATGCTTGGTTTCCCAGCATTAACTTTTATTTATCTCCATTTGTTCTTGGTTGCCTTAGTCGACGTCGAGAAGGTGGATGAGCGTGTTTCGCTTGTCTACGCTCGCAGCTGCATAGTCTGCTACAGTAGCTGTTTCGGGTTTTCTTGATCTGCCAAGGCGAGGTCAACGGACCCAGACTACATTGAATTGTCACTGACTGTAAAATGCTTGTTGTGCGTTTTCTGTGTTGGCACCCTGCCGCCCTCCATTCTTGGCGGGAGAAAGAACGGATGCAAAGTGAGGCTTTAACCATTTGCTGGACGAGCTGCTGGAGCGCAGCGTGGACCTCTATCGCGCTGGCCTCAGATAGACCAGCGGGTTTAGCTGGTTCGTTGGCTACACTGTGCCGGTTTTCCCGGTGCTGTTTCCGACTTGCGTATTCTGGACTTGTATAAGCAAGCGTTCGCTGACCAGCCGATTGGCCATATCAGCTTAGATTTCCAGCAGGTCCGAGCAGCCAGCATCCTAACAACGGCAACCAGGACGTCCTCAGAATGAAAGCGGGCGGCCCGCGCGTGAGGCTAGTAATGTGGAACACAGTCACGAAGAAACATACTATGAAACAATGATGGGTGATGACTATGATTATGACACACGGAGGGTAGTGGCAAAAACAGTTGAACTTGCAGAGAGAACTGCAGCTGTTGAAGCATCAATTCAAGCATCGCTGATACTGGCCATACTCGCGGTGATTTTGAAAAGACACTTGCTTGCCGTACTAGCAACGGTAAACTCATTGAGTGCAAGATGTCTGGTTTGACGGCTGTAGCAGCCGTATTGTAGCAAAAGCAGCAACAGCAGTAGCAGCGCAGTCGTCGTCTCGTCGTCGTAGTCGTGGCTGAGGCTACAAGGGCATCCTGGCCTGTGCGCAGGGAGGGAAGGTGGTCCGCCTCGTCCTGCAAGGCGCCAGGAACTCAGCCACGCTCCGAAAGTGCCTGAGGACATTGGGGACCCCAGGAGCTTACAGTTCTCAGGTGCACGACATGCTGGATCTCTCCTTTTCGGGTGAGTGGCCATCAGAGTAATGCCGGCTTTGTTGCATTTCTTGGCCTTTGCCTTGGAAAAGGGGAGAGTGGGGCCCAGTAGTGGACGGGGGGCGCTGCAGCTATGCCAGGAAGCCGCTGCGCACGCAGGCGGGGCGCATCGGCATAAGTTGAGTTTGCAGGCAGAGTCGACTTGCAGGTGGTCCTCATTGGGAGAAAGCTGGACAAAGCGGCACTGGAACAGCGCTTCCGTGAATGTGCTTTGCTTCCAGATGTGGTCTGAGCCGAGCCAGCCTTGGGACTCCCTGACTCAAGAGCAAAGCTCCTCACAATTTCTGGCTTGTGTGCTGCAGAAGCGCAGTAGGAGGACGATCCCAAGGATCACTGCAATGTCGGCTACATAGACGAAGCTCTGGACTCATGACAGGTTCGGCCAGATTCGCTCGCATTCCGTGGATGCAAAGCACGGCTGCAAGATGTGCATACGGCAGGATCTCAGATCTGGGCAGTTGCTTCTGGAAAAAACTGAGTTTCAGGCAGAAGCAAAAGTGGCAGAGCTGCTTGACAGAACTAACAGGTGCTAGGCAGATTGGCTGAGTAGCAGCGGAACAACATTGAAAAGACTAGCAAACGTTGCAAGCCGGGCCTCATGCGCAGGCGGCGTTGTATATTCATACACTGAGAAGCTGGGGATTATCATTCGCATTCGCATAGAGGCATAGAGCTGCATCTCGCAGTCTTGGCAGGCAGGCCGACTTTGCGGAATGCCAGGAGGTTGGCGGCTTCTTTGATCTTGACAACAGAGGTTATTGCCGGCGGTATGCTAGTGAAGTACAAGCTGGACAATCTGAACGTTCGGGCTTGATATCTTCCAGTGAAGCCTGCTTGAAAATTGATGGTTGGATTTTCTGCGTCTTGGAAAACGCACCGGGTTGTGTGAGCAGGATGCTGATGACGTTTTTCCACGGAACCTTTATTAAACAGGACCAATGCCAATTTATTCACAGTTCAGACTTCGGTGCGACAGACCACGACAGCAGGCGTCAGCCACGTGCATCGCTGCGAGCCATGGTGGCACCTCCTCTGGAGGACTCGTTGCGACTAAGGTTCAGGGTGTCCGGTTCAGTACTTCAAGACTTACCGTCCAACACTGGGCGCCGAGCTGGCATGTTACAATGTTGACAGGTGGGACTCAAAGCCGCACTAGCAGCCGTCTCAGCCCACTGCCCTGCATTGCAGGACACCTTGATCCAGGCAAGAGAGTCCATACCAGCGCTTTCACGTTGGGTTTCGTGGGGTGGTCCTTGTCCTTGCAACGAATCAGCCGCAACCTCTTACGCAAAGCAGGTCATGTTGACCTGTGATTGTCGCAAGTTCTGGGTCACTAGGGAATCCGAGACAATCCGAAGGTGTGTCATGTTGTAAGCCTTGCTCGATGAGACTTCCTGAGTTTGGCAGGGTCAGTGCCACGATCAGAGAGATTTGCATCAGACTCACTTGAGCTGTTTGGCTCCGCAGCTGGCCTCGCCGGTTTCTTGTGACACAAGTCCCCTCATTCGTCACGGGACATCCCTACGAGATTGATGACTCTCGGCTCCTTCTCTGTTAGTTCTCACAGTGGGCAGATGGGAACAAGTCGACAAAAATGGGCACTAGAAACCTCGGAGCCGATCAGCATTCCCGTATGGGAAGAGGGGCAAGCGAGAGCCCATCACACATATCGGGTAGATGCGGGCATCTACCACTTAGGGCCCACGATCCAAGCCGGTCACTACAGGGCCTTTTGGTACACAGCAACACCAACAACAGCAACAACAACAACAAGGAACGAAC